CAGGAGCTTGAACTTAGAGTGCTGAGGTGCTGACTTGATTGGCAAGGAGGTTCCTGACCTACCGGCGAGCTGCGAGGCAGGGGTAATTAGTCTTTCCCTCCTACCTGGGGATGAGGCCTGGCTCCTTGAGGGATTTTGAAGTTGGGAGGCTTCCCCTCGGTGAAGGCGCCCGCTGAGGGGAGGGCTTGACCGGCTTCAGAGCAGGGTGCCGAGGTGGGAGTTGTGGTTGGTTCAGAGGCAGTTGGGGGAACTACTATTGATAGTGACACTGAGAAATGTGGTGCAGTACTTGCTGCTGCTGGAGCTGATGTTGTTGGAACTGCTGCATTTGGGCTTGCATTGCCCACATGCACTGCATCAAGTCATCAAGCTGGTTCTGGCTGGTCGCCAGAGGGACAACGGTTGGTTCGGCGAAAGTTGTCTCGATAGGGGGGGAAGGGGAACATTCACAGGTGCCACTGCACTCGGTGCATTGAGGCTAGAAATTCCGTCCGTCGAGAGGGGGACGGTGAACTGTCCGATACATACAGTGGCGGGCTGAGGGTGTTCCCCTACAACATTCAAGTCGGCGTTGTGCCTGTTGCTGCTGGAGGAAGCCATGGAAGCTAAGGTTTCTTTGAGAGAGTTAAAGGTTAGGGGAGGCTTTTTGAAAGATTCCCACAGACGGCGCCAAATGATGGTGCGCAATCCGGTCGATCCTAGCTGCCGGTTACCTCGCCTCTGATGGAATTGGAGGTGCCTGAAAAAAGGAAGAAAACAGAGACTTCCGAGGAGGAACCCGGTTGGAACACTCCGAAGCTCAAGTTAGTGCTCTTGAGAAGGCAAGGAAAATGAAGAACTTCAAGACCAGAAAGCGCAAGAATCACATACATCCTATTTTGAGAGATGGGGGCCTTTTATAATCACCCTATACACTTACTTCCATACCTCTGTCAGTTCGGGTATCATTACCTCTGCCAGATCGGGTGTCATTTCCTCTGCCATATCGGGTGTCATAGCCTCTGCCAGTTGCCGGTTCGGGTGTCATAACCTCTGCCAGTTGCCGGTTCGGGTGTCATAACCTCCACTGCCAGTTTCCAGGGCCGTCTTTGCCCCGTCTGAGATGGCGGTGGCAAGTGGCCGTTGGAGGACGGCTGTCATGTGTCGGACCCCTAATCAGTCAGGTGCGCCGTCTCCGTGTACGGGTTTCCTGGGCGTTAGGTACGGTTGTTCAGTCAGGCGACTTGGAGCCGAAGTGGTGTGTGAGGTGAAGTCTTGAGTTCGGATAGAAGTGTGGCCCGAATTGCCCCTGGATGGGCAGTTCGGGTTTTTGCCTTGTGCTCCTTGTAAGGCTCAGGACCTCGAAGGGAGAGCTCGGGACTTGTTTTCTCAGAGCTTGGGTTGTGGGCCTACTGTTGTGCCGATCTGGCACTTCTGCCAGGTCACCCTGGTTGCTTCCACATGTCGCGTGGCCAAGGGGTCGGGCCAAATCTCCCTCTATCAATTACTATTTTATATTTTTTAAACAAAAKAATATAAGAAAAAATACAAAAAATGGAGAAAATAGATAAATAGCTTCTCTCAAAGGAGATGTATGCTAACATGGACAAGACCAATTTTAATATATATATATATATATATATTTTTGTTTTTTGGGTAAATTTCTTAAACTAACTTTATAGTTTAGCGAATTGACTAAGTGTATCCTTATTGTTTGAAAATTGATTAATGCTATCCTTATTGTTTCTAACAATTGACTAATACTTCCCTTACCATTAACATCCCTTAATTTCCCATTAACAAAAAGATAAAAGGACTATTTTACCCTTTAGATCTGTTTCTCTCCCAACCCTTATTTCTCTCTCTCTCATTCTTTTTCCCCATCGTCCTCTCCCACTTTCTCTTTCCTTATTTTTCCCCACCGTTGTTGGGTTCACGAACAGAGTAACAGGACACACATGAGACCCGTCGCTACTTTGCCATGTGTTTTGGCCGGACCAAGCGACGGAGAGCAGCGGTGGATCTGTCGGTTTTTTTAGAGCTTAAGCAATACGAACAAGGGAGATCCACCGTTGCTCTCCTCGCTTGGTCCGACCAAAGCACATAGGTAATAAAAAGGAGAATGGGAGATTTGTCGCTGCTTGGTCCGGCCAAAACACATGAAAAAAAAAGAGGAGATCCACATTGTTCTCCGTCGATGGTTGCCGTTGTTGATGATGTTTTTAGTGAGCATGTTGTCGAAACTGCCATTTTGGGTACATTGCCGAAACCGCCACTGTTTACGAACGGAGATAAAGGAGAGCTTGTAGCAACGGTTGAAGAAATCGCCGCCTGCCTTCTCCTCCACTTTCTCACGCAATATGAAGAGCTTGAAATTACTTCAGTTCCTTTCATGGTTCTGTGTSCCAACACCAAAGCCGCTTGAGCATTCATGACTGTATCTTCTTTTTTCTATTCCGAAGGCGGGAGACTACTCAATTGGGAAATGTATCTTCTTCGGATATAGTTAAAGTGGTATCTCCAAAGTCTGTAGATAATAGGGCACTCAGAAGGTCGAGCAATAGCATTTATGCTAATAGCCCAATGTACACGTATGGTTATGTATTCAATAGGCAAAGGCTGGATGAGAGGCTAAAGCGAGGAGGAGAGCAGAAGTCTGTGGTCATATTGTCTTACTGTCCATTCTCGAGTGTGTTTAGGCCTTTGTTACAAATATTGGGTCCTCTGTTTTTTCGACATTGGTAAGAGAACTCTGGAGCATATTGCTTCTTGCATTTCAGCATGGCTTGCTCCTATACCAGGTAAACTAATGGAACTTCCTATAGGGAATGTTACACTTAGGCTATGTTTGGTTTGAAAGAAAATGTAGGGAAAGGTAAGGAAACCTTTACAAACCTTGTATTGGTTTTCCTGTCTTTCCCTTCCTTTCTCTACCTTTTCCTTCAAACCAAACATAGCCTTAAAGTAAACCTGCCACCTGCTCCTCCGGCAAGGTCTCTTCCATGATGCTGGTCTTTTTAGTATATTCAGTAGGATTCTTTTACAGCTTTGGGTGCTCTAGGAGCTCTTGATTATCGGTAGGCCCATTCTTATAATAGCGCCAACACCACCTTAGTGTTGTGAAGTTGTTGCCAGCCTTGTAAGTCTAGTCACCCCACTCTTGTGTAGTGTTGGTTTTAGACCTTACTTCACCATTCACGACCCAAATTCTATTTCACTCCCCTTTAAATTTACGGGTTTTGTATAAATTGATCATTTGGGTTTTCCAAGAGAAGAGAACGAATGAAAGGCACACATACACACACAAGAGAGAGAGAGAGAGAGAGAGAAACGTTATCTCATTTCGTTCCTTATCGTGCTGATACATTGATGTAGATGCCGGTGTCGGTGCCGGAGATAACCAACTTTGAGCCCCTCCCCTCTCTCTCTCTCTCCCTCTTGAGCTGATATCAGAATCATCTCTCACAAACAAAAGGGTATTTTCGAACATAAAGGGTAAATTGGGTATTTTTAAAGTTATAACAATCACGTGATGGCACATGTGAGTAGTTTATGATGGAACGTTAATAGTAAGGGAAGTATTAGTTAATTGTCATAAATAGTAGGGGTATCATTAGTCAATTTTCAAACAGTAAAGGTACACTTGGTCAATTGGCTAAACCATAAAGATAGTTTAAGAAATTTACCCTTGTTTTTTTCATTTTTAGCCATTTGTATTTTACAATTATGGATTAGAATGGTCTGTTCTTGAAAATGCAAAATTAGTTTTGTAGTTAGCTAACTTGATCTATTACTTTTCATGCAAGGTAAACACCTCTAAAGGCCGAGTTTGGAAGGAGTACAAATGCAAATATGTAGAGTGCAAAACCTTATATTTTGTATTATTTTGTATGTATTTACACTCTACATATTTGCATTTGTACTCCTTCCAAACTGAGCCAAAATATAATTTAACTCTTATAGCCTAACTCTCTAGCTTTGAAACTATATAAGATGAGATCTATCTTAAATATGGTTTTAAAAGGCATCCAAGGTGAGGCAAAAGGCATATGTCTCGGTAGCTAGTGGTGGCCACAAGTCGAACTTGAGCCTAATATATAGGCTCGTTTGCTAATCAAGCCGAGCTCGAGCCCAGTAAAACTCGGCTCGTTAGGCTCGTGAGCCTAGTATAATAAATAAATAAATTTTTATTACATACATACATATAAATATATATAATAAATAATTTTTATTTTTTATGTATAATAGTAAATAATTTTTATAATTCTTATTTTTTGTATGTAAAATAAAAACATTTTTATATGTATATTTTTTATTTTTTACATGTATAATAATAAATAATTCTTAATTTTTTGTATGTAAAATAAAAGATTTATATATATATATATATATTTATTTTTTAGAAAAAACTTGGCTTGTAGTCGAGCTCGAGCCGAACCGAGCTCGAACTTGCAGGCTTTAAATTGAGATGAGCTCGAGCTCGAGCCTAACACAGTTTCAACGAGTCGAACTTGAATAGCTAAGTATTCAGCTCGGCTTGGCTTGAATCTACCCCTATTGGCAGTAGGGATGGCAATTTTCCCCATCCCTGATGGGGACCTGACTTCCTCGACCTGATGGGGTCGGGGATGGGGATTGTTTCAGCGGGGCGGGGATGAGGATGGGGTTAATAGGAATCCCCGATTAGGGCTGAAGTCAGGGATGGGAATTGAAGTCCCCACCCACCCCGGCCCCGATTATATATATATTAAAATATATATTATTATATTATTTCTATATCAAAACATATTTAAAACATTATTTATCATTTATTTTTTTATTTATTTTAAGTAAATTTATTTAAAAAATACTGTTATCTAAAAAATTTTGAGAATTCGAATGGAATCCATCCCCGTTGGGATCAAGGATAAAGGACAAATTTTATTCGGATACGGATGAGAACTAATTTCCGAATCAGGGTCGGAGACGGGGAATATGATCCCCGCCCCAAACCCGCTCCGTTGCCATTCCTAATCGGCAGCCAAAAATCGCCTGGTTTTGATAGCCTCTCAAAGATGCAGAGCGTAGCCTCACTTCAATGAGCGTACGTTTCTCGCCTCGACCCTCGAGGCGTAAAATCGTCGAGGGGTAGCCTAGAACATTTCAGGCTTTTAACGGGGTAAGTTTGTAAAAAGATGAAAAAGCATTCCGAGTGACGAGTGAGAGTGGGAATCGAACTCTTTTCTTCTTGCTGGTTCGAACCAAGAAGTGAGAAGTGCAAAAGAACAACTCCAGTGCTCTCCTCAACGGCTTAATCTACATTGAAACGAGGATCAAGTAATTTTTCCTTTTTTTCCCCTTTCTCTTCTTTTTCCATTCTGGCGCAACTGCGCAAGGGTTTCTCCCTTCTTCTCCCGTTCTTCTCCTTATTCTTCTTATTCTACTACTATTTTTTATTTTTGTAATTTTCCTGTGGTTCTTGCTTGTCTACCGCATAGGTAACTCCAAGGTTTGAGTTTCTATTTACAATATAAACTGAAAACAGAGTTTTGCTTTGAGTTTCCCATCGTTACATCTTCAATATTCAATATAACTTTTTGTTTTTCTAATTTTCAATTTTTCTTTTCAGGTTTGGTTTGAAATTTGAAGTCTGTAACAGACTAACAATCGACTACCAAGTGATCATCGACCAAGGTAAGTTCTTATTCTTATTTCTTAAATCATAATTTTTCATGGTTAATCTGTTACGGTTAATTGGTTACTTGGTGTTAAATAATTATTAAAAGCTGTGGCTATGGTTATTCTGAATGCTTTTTTTTTTTGATTGCCACATGAAGAAGAAAATGAATGGAGCCGAACACATGGTTTTAGTGATAAGGGACTTGCTCGAAAAGAAAAGGATGTAATTTGAACGATCATTAGAAATTTAGAATTTAGAAAAGAGGGTTTTAAATTTTGATTTCAAAGTTCAAACCAGGTTTTGATCTTTAATTAGGCTYGAAGCCTTGAAACTAGAATTTTAATTGAAACATTGGTATTTTTTTATTCTTCTGGGAATTGGAGAACTTTCTTACACTAATAGGAATAAATTCTGGTTAAATTTTCATAACCAAATAAACATGCTTGATATGCCTTGCTTGCTAGTTGGTGCTTTTAATGAAGGTGTGCCTACTAATTTAAAACTTTAAATGTTTTGCCTAGCTCTATTGGTAGGAAGTCTACTTATTATAGGAGATACACTTCAAAAAATTTATTGTAATTTTTACAGGAATTTGCAATTTTGAACTTCAAGGATTCATATTTTGTAATTTGGCTATTGGGTTGTGTTAGGCTGTTCTTGATCCTATCTTCCTTTTTTCATCTTTTCTTCTATAGTTTAGAATTTGTATTGTGGTATCAAATTCTATATGTTAGTTGGTAGTTATTAGTTATTTTGATTACAGCATTGTTTTCTTAGTGCTTAGATTTCACAAAAGTAATATTGAAAAAAATTCAACACACATTTAATGGTTGTTGGACCATTTTACATTAAAAAAGTCAGACATAATTATGTAAAATTTCAATTATTTGTTTCTTTTTTGTGCTTTATTAATTATGAAATATGTCCATAATTTTTAATTTTTTAGTTTGAGGCTTACACCTCACCTCTTTGGCACCCAACTGCCTCGCATCTGCCTTTAACCGTTTAAAACTGAGGTCAGATCTGCTCCTCACAGAGCGCGCCTCACAGCACATCTTAGTTGTGCATCTGGAACATCTCTGTAATTCTAAATTTTTATTTATGGGGAGATGTTCCCAATGCATGGTTGAAACGTGCCGTGAGGTTGGTGTGAGGTGTGCTCTGTGAGGAGCAGATCCGAACTCTTTAAAACCTTTTTTTGATCAGTCGAACTCTTTAAAACCTTGATCTTAGATTGTGAGGCAATTATTAATATTTATATAATTTATTATAAAAATTAACTACCTAATTAATTTTTCTTTATATTCTGAGATCGTAATTCAAGTTGTTATTCAAACGTCTAGAATCCATAAATCCATATTTAGCACTGCCTTCTTGAAAGTGTAATTAAAGAGCAATTTGTGGTATGATGGTGGAATGGTTTGAAAGGAGACTATCCTCTTTGAAGGTTAAATACCTTTCAAAGGGAGGGAGGGTGAGACTCATAAAAAGTACATTAGCTAATTTACCAGCCTACTACCTGTCTATGTTCCTTATTCATAGTAAGGTAGCTAAGAAGTTAGGAAGAATTCAAAGGGAATTGCTTGGAAAGGGTGGAGGGAGGAGAGGGATCCATTGGGTTGATTGGAAGAAGATTTATTCACTAAAGGAGGAAGGGGATCTTCAGATAAAGAATTTGAAAGTGTTAAGTTCTGCATTGGTGGGGAAATGACATTGGTGGTTTAGCATGGAAGTTAACAGTTGGTGGAAGGAGGTTGTARAGGTGAACTATGGAGTAAGCAATGGAAATTGGGTTGCAGGAGTGGCTCATGGCACATATATGTGCCCTGTTCAGAAAGGGATTGACAAATCCTTTGAAACCTTAAGCAAGGGTACAATCTTTAAGTTAGGTAATTGAGAAAGGTACAATTCTGAGCAGATACATGGTGTGACAACAGGCCCCAATCTGCACCTTTCCCTATATTCCTTTTCCAAGGATCAGGAAGTGATGAATGACATTGTTTGGACTTCATAATTTCATAGGAACCTTCAAGGAACTTTCAGGATTAGGAGGTAGATGAAGTAATGGCACTCAGGTTTCGAAGTCAACAGCCAAACACAGATTCAAGAGATGCAGGGTCTGAATTTGGGAACTTCTGAGCTATCATTATCCAGAAAACCTCATCCCAGTGGGTGACAGCCCTTTCCGAATTAAAAATGGATTGATATAATTTTTGGTTCTTGATTCTGTTTCTCTTGCGTTGGTTCTAGCTCACTAACCATTAAGTCTTTTTTTAGTCTCTTTGAGCTGATTTAGTCTTAATATTTCAACAACCATTTATTAAAAAAAGAAAATAAACATACAGCATCCACAAGTAAACTATGAGAATCCACAATCAGAACAGCTTCCCCTTCTAATCATAATTCCACATTTTCTTTTTCCCTTGTTATGGTGTTGATCTCCTCTTTTTGATTGAACATGGGTCAACCATCCCGTTTCTTCTAATTACAATTTATTTTGAATTTTGATTGCACATTGCACGTGTATCCTTTTTTTTTTCTGCTTTTCAAAAGTAAATGCTCAGAATTTGTCTTTAATTTGTTGTATCTATTTGCTTTGATCTAAAAATAGACAACAAAAGAGATACAAATGTACTTTCTTGTTTTTGTAAAGGTTTTAAGTTATCTTGTTGTCTGTTTTCAGAAGATTACACCTGCTACATATCATCCTACTCATAATCAGACTGTTCCACCACCTAATCAAGGTTAGAAACATTCTCTATATCATCCTATTATTTTGTTATTAATTTTTACTCTATGTTCAAATATGGCTTTGGACATTGAATATGCAAGGTCATTCCTACTGAAGGGCTTTAGAATTTGCATATCCTTTGTTGGTATAGTATTGGAAGTTTCATACTAGAACTATATAGTTGTTCATTATGTGGTGTAGATTTTCTTCTTTTGCATTTTGACTTGGTGTGTCAGTAACCCACAAATTTTCTTGCTTTTATCAAACCATCCTGCAATGGACAAAGGTGTTGTAAATGCTAATTGGATTTCTAATACGTGGACACATATAGTTTAATTTTCATGTCAATGTCATTAATTACATGTTCAAATTATGAAAGGAATGATAGATAAATGGATAAATATTAAAATCACACAACAATTGTTTTTATTTTTAACATATCCATGATAATTTTACTAATCAGGTAATAAATATGAATACAACAGTAAAAATATGATATAATTAATATGTATATGATATCTATGAGGGGGTAATGCCATATGAAATGCTACATACTCCCCCCCCCCCCGAAAAACAGTCTTTTGGTGTTGTAATAGTTTTTGTTTGGAATCCATGAATAAGAAGAAATCTGAATAACTAGGGTGGTGGTGTCAATGGCCAAAATTCTAGCCATATGCCAAGATTAGCAACTGCTCCAAATCAAAGGAATAATAGAATTTGGATGTAAGATGCATCTGAAATTTTCTAAGTGCATTCTTCTTTCAGTAAGCTAAGTTCCAGCAGGCTGGGATGTGATCATTCCAAGTAATAAAATCTGTTTTCTTCCTGTACTTCCTTCAAGGTGGATTTTATGGTTTGGCCAGCAATGCCAGATAAATGTCTTAAAGAGGTGAATAGGCCTGTCTGACATAGGCTGAAATTTAAAAGGTCTTGATAAAAGGGGGTAACAACATCCTCTGGTTAGTGCTTCCATCTATGGTCCTATGGATGGTTTGGTGCAAAAAGAACTCTTTGGTTTTTGAGGAAAAAAATAACAGTTCTCATGAAAGGTAGGAAATCCCTTAGATCTTGGTTACTGGTGCAGTAGGGCTTCAGGGAAGTCTCCCTTGCCTCCTACTTAATTTTTATCTTCTTTTTGGTTCATATTAACATATAACTTTTGTGCAATTCAGCCTTTTGTAAGGATGTCTACCATACTTTTGGCCTTCATATTCAGATCAACACTATCAAAAGGAAAGGATCATTCAAGATTGAGACCTCATTATTATTAGGAAAATTTAAGGATCCAATAATTTTCTTAATTTTTTTCAATTTTCTAATAACTGTTTCTGAATGGATGGTGCATTCATCATACATTGAAATTGTTGAAGATATTTTTTTTTTTGGAAAGAGGTAAGGTAATTTTATTCAAAAACAAAAACACATACAAGCTGGATTCAGACCCAGAAAGGCAGTTTGAAAACCGCAGCAATTGCAATCTCCACCAGGAATTAGAACAAAGTAAAAAAGACAAATTCAGACTTCTGAACACCACAGAAACAGAAACCCAAGAGATCAGCTTGTCCACTGCTCTCTGTATTATATCTTCAGGGCTCTTAGCTATATTACAGAATATCCTACTATTCCTTTCAGCCCAAATGGACCACAAGACAGCAGCAGGAATAGTCCTCCATACCAGTTTCCCTTTCTTGCTTAGGCCTTTAACATTCCARCAGCAGAGACGCTCCTTAACCGGCCTAGGCATAACCCAAACCTGAGAGGAGAATGGACAATGAATACACAAATGATCTGTCGATTCAGTAAGGAACCCACAAAGACCACAAGATAAATCCAAAATTTGGATGCCCTGCCTCACAAGATTAGATCTGGAAAGGCATTTGTCAAGGGCCATCGTCCAAATCAGAAAATTGGACTTTGAAGGACTTGTAGAATTCCAGATCTGTGTAGTTGGGAAATCAGTGAGGCCCAATCTGCAAAGCTTGGAGGCAAGGGATTTAACAGTAAATTCACCATCAAGATTCCATTTCCAGCACTATTTGTCTTCCAAAAGCAGGTCTATCTTCTGCTTCTGAAGAAGAGCCATCAGCTCCACAATCTCTTCTAACTCCCAATCAAAAAGATTCCTCCTAAAGGGGGGTAGGGTCCAAGTAACAGAATCTCCAGCCGAACAAAAGTACTCAGCCACAGATGCTTCTTGGTTAGAAGCACACTGAAAAAGGAGAGGAAATAACTCAGCTAGAGGCCCATCCAAGCACCAAGGGTCCTTCCAAAGTTTAGTTCTATCCCCCTTTTCAATCTTGACAGAAATCCCTTCCAAGAAAACAGAGAAATTCTTCATGATACCTTTCCAAGGGGAGTTTCCCCAACTTGGGGGAGGATCCCTAGATCTCCAGTTTCCCCACTCCACCCCACTCCCCAACTTGTTGAAGATGTAATGTTATTATATGCAAATAATATGTCAATATGTGGGGGATATTATGGGAAACAGAAATTGAATCAAAGGAACAATATAAACGGGGCCTAATAAGAGTATAGCCTAAGTTGTTGATGGTAAGAGTACCTATGAGACTAGGGAGGGTGGTTGGCAAACTTACCCACTTACTTCCTATCTGTTTTTAGGATACCACCTAAGGAAGCTAGGAAGTTAGAGAAGTTGATGAGAGATTTCTTGTGAGAACCGGGACTAGAAAAAAGGATCATTTGGTTAAATGGGAAATTGTTTGTAGAAATAAAGAAGAGGGGGGTTTGGGACTAGGGAGGGTGGTTGAAAAAAAATCAAGCCCTGTTAGGGAAATGGTTGTGGCATTGGCCATTGGAAAGGTGGTGGGAAGCATTCATGGGAGTTCAGAGAATGGGTGGGATGCTAGTGTATCAAGGCAGGCTAACTTGGTGGCACATTGGAAGGCCATTCACAACACCCTTCCTCAATTTCTTAGGTTTATCAGGTATGAAGTTTTTTGGTAATGCTGTTCGTTTTTGGGAGGACAACTAGATAGGGAACAACCCTTTAAAGGACATTTTCCCTTTGTTATTTTCTGTTTTTTGTATAAAAAAGAGGTGGTCTCAAAATTTGTCTCATATTTAGGAACACCTATGGCTCCTAATTGGGACTTTGAGTTTTGTAGGGAATTAAGGGATGATGAAATTGAATCCCTCTCTGACTAACTTTGTTTCCCTAATTAGGTCTGCTTGGATCCCTCCAAGCCAGACAAAAGGGTGTGGGCTCCTAGACCCAAAGGGATCTTTGGTTGTGCTTCTTACTTCAAGTCCATCTCTTAGTTTTCTACCCAACAACCCTTTTTGTCAAAGGAAATTTGGTGTAGGCCAATTCCCCCAAAGATTATGGATTTTTATTGGGAAATATACTATGGGAAAGTAAAATCTCTAGATAACCTACAAAAGAGAAGACCTTTTCTCTGTATTTCTTCTAATTGGTGTATCCTTTGTAGAGCTCATGGGGAGGATTGTTACCATCTACTTATATCTTGTCCATTTTTTGCTGTCCTATGGGCTTGGTTATTTTCGTTGTTTGGGAGTAGTTGGTGTTAGACAGTGTACGCCCTTAGCTCCAATCAGCATGATGTACATTATGACATTTATTGTAAATGAATAAAGTACGTATTTGATTCATGTTATTATGGTGTGTTTCTGTGTAATACCCTTAAACTGGACACATATGAGACTCGTGTTGGTTTAGAATCTTCACAGCTGTTGGGTAGATCTAGGGAGATTTATCCTGCCAAGGCTGACACTGATGTACCACCAAGTTGGTTGGGGTGGCTTGTCTCAGCTGTCAGGGTGAGACCTGAGGTACATGCAGTGTGGGTTTTTCTTGAAACCCTGAACAAGACCAAAATTCCAGTATTGCCCTAGACCTTGGAGATAGATGGGCAAAACTGGAATGTTACACCTGACCCCTAGACTCGATTATGATACTGCACTAGGTGTCGGATTGGGCTGTCTTTGATATGCCAATCAGTGAGATTCTTAGAGGGGGTCAAAACCTGGGTATGTTGGGACAGTCCGAGAATTCATCTGAGTGGGTGATCATAGTGACAGGATCAACCCCTTTGTCAGACAAAGTGAATGATTGGGGACGCACTCTCTCTGATGGAAACCTAAACTGTCAGCAGTTGATTTCAACCGTTGAAATTTGTTTTTGCAAAATATATTTATATAGAGATATACATATATATTATGGTTTTAAAATGTTTGCAAAAAGGTTTTAATTCCCGGGATCCATATTAGTGGAGAGTGCAACACTGTTCCTTGCAGCCGAGGGAGAGGTCTTCTCTTGTCGAGCTGTGTTTGATCATTATGGGCTGAGAGGTTAAGTGTAAGACCATTGAGGGTTATACCTGATGGGCTAATCTTGCATCTGCCCACAGTCCTTGGGCCT